AGCTTCTAGACATCTCACTGTGGGTCGACGTCAGGGCGAGTCACCGACGTCAGTCGTGTTCCTGGCCCCTTCGATGCCATCATGAGTCGTCCACAAGTGCGATCGTCGGACGTCCTGGCGTGCGGGCGCGGGATCCAAAGGCGACTGAAACGCAACCGCTTCATCTAGCAGCCTTGCCGCTCCGACAAACTGCCGAGAGCCCAAGGACCGACTCGTTCAGAAGACCTGTCCGGTTCGTGTGTCGCAGATCGTGATGGGCAAAAGCAGAGCAGCCTCTCATGGTATGACAGATAAGCGACGGCTGGTGACGGGCGGACAACGGAGGGGCTGCTAGTAAGGAGGGCCCTGGGTGTGGAGAGGGCTGGTCGTATATCACATCGCGGGTGTGAGGCGATCTATACCGCGTGCAGCGAGTCTGGGTGGGACCAAGAGCATCTAGAAAAACGGGAGCATGGAGGGCCCCATTTATCTATAATATAGTAGGGCTGGAGACGCCGGTGTGGTTCTGAGGCAGAACCGCGCCTGCTGCTGCGCTTAGGAAGTCGCGATGTCACACGATGCACTCTCGTTGGGTCGGACTAATTATCCACCTCGCCTGGCGCACGCTGAGTGGCTGTCGCTCTGATGGTCCAAGGACTTGAACATGTTCGCAGACGTCCTCCGCCCGTCATGTGGTGTTTTGTTGATAATGCAGGTCCCGACGTAAGCGCAGGGAAGGCTCGTTGGTATTGTAGTATCCTGGAAGATCATTTCGCCATCGTCAGGCACCACTCCAAAGTGCCGAACAGCCATCATGCCTCACTTCGACTCTACATCCCGGTCCAGTCACGTCGACACGTAAACCTCCCAAACCCCGCGTTGCGTTGCGATTATGAAGGGAAAAGTTTCTCAACAGCGACAACGTGTCGTCTTGCGTCAGCTTCACTACGACAACTCAGTGATTAGAAACGACGAAGCAAGCCACTTCATGGGGTATTCATGGGATATCCACGGACATGTTTCTCTTTGTGAGGGTATTCTTGCTCATCTTTGAAGAGTTTTCAGTTTGACAAAACATCGAGAAACTAGGTGTATTGCGATCATCCCCTCCCCAATGGACGACTCCAATAACGAGCACGATATACGATCACGCCATAGTCTGGATCAGATGGGCGTACTGTTCTCTCATGCGTGTCTGAAAAGCATCCCGCCATGATGACCGTTGCGAAACAAGACCATGCCCCAGATTTGAGTCAACGGCGCACACTTTTCCTTCGTCATCTCCCAAAACTTGCCACTTCAATGATCAGTGCGAGACAAGACTGAGCTCGGCATGAGTCAACGGCGCGTACCATACTATCCTTTGTTCGAGAATCTTCCCATATGTAGGATCTATCGTCCTAACCACCCCTAGACCTTTCCCGTCCTCTACCTCTCTGAATCTACCCGCCCTATCGCATCTCCCTCGTCCACTCCGCCTCATTTCTTCTCACTCCTCCCACCTGACAAATCTTCCATCACATCCCCCAAAACATCCAATCCACCTCACTCCACCCTCTCAAGACCCCCAACTACCGTATCTCCCCTTACTATACTGATCAACCCCCCTCTGATATCCTTCCCTCCTCCCCCTAACCCTCTCCTCCCTGACCCCCTCCCTCCCACACTGCCTACACCAGCTACACTCGCCCTCAACCCACATCGTCTGGCTCAACCTCGCGCCTACGGGACACGCTCGAATGGGGTTGAGTGAGCGGGCGTAGGGACACAGGCGGATGTAAGGGGATGAGGGGGCTGGAGGACAGGCGCAATGGGGGGAGGTTGTGAAGGTTATGATACACATCGATGTTGGTTGGACTTCAGAGTAGAGGTGAGGTGCTGGTTGGTCGATACACTGATACAGATAGTTGGTGGAGAAGTGATACCCGTGAAGTTGGTAGGTATGTCGATATATCGATACTCCTCAGTATTCCCACGTACAACTTCCTCAAATCCAGAACACCGTATCGACTGTGCTGTGCGTGATGACTCCTCCTTCTCCGTCCGTCCGTCCGTCGTAGATGAGATGGGAATTTGATCTTGGGGTAGCGTATGTCACTTTCACTCAAGACATGTACATATCTTCTCCATGTATACGTGATAGCATAGCAATCCATCTTCTTTCAACACTGCCTCAACGCTTTCAATCAAAGATACGCGAGACGAATGGTAAACTGGCCAACGATTGCCTAGTGTAACAAGCACAACACACGTTTGGCCAACGAGTTGTCGTTTGGCCTCAACAACGAAAGCGACAACGACAACGATGGCGACAGCAAAGCAGGCATTGCTACTTCGCCGTTCATCGCCATCATCGGCAGTATAGGTAGGCGCAGTCTCCAAGTATCGATCTGTTGTAGATCGGCATTTCAAGCTCTATCGCAAACTAGTATGAATCAGATAAAAATAGCAATAAGGTTCAGTAGCACAGAGCAAGCCATCGCAAAACGGAAGAAAGGAGGCTGAGCCAGTATTCCATAACAAGGAAAATAAGTATTATGATAATGTACGTTTTTCATCGTGCAACGGCTTTCCCACCTAGCCACGTATACACATTCCGTCGGTCGCACAAGCAGCCTAATCCACAGTATGTGCTTGCTTGCCTTGCTTGCGTGCTTGCTAGGTCCAAAGGAGAAATGGACAACATCGATCCGACCGTCGTTTGTTGCCGTCGAAACCCTAGTATAGGTACCGATTCACAGCATCCTAAGCCGCAGTATCCATAGCCGGCTCGCTCTTCGTCTGTTTACCCGTACGACCACGGGTGACTTCCTGCTGCTGCTCTCCTTTATGTTGTTGGGGACTCCTAGCTTCCTGTTCGTCGGAGCTGTCGTCGATGGGGGATTGCGGGCGGCTGTCGTTTAGGTTGCGGCGGGAGCGTGCCATCTGATCATGTTGTTAGTAAACCCATCCTCTCAATTCTTCTCATCCGCGTATTTGCGGTCATGCAGGGTTATGATATTGTGATAACGTACCCAAGACCTCACACCACCAATCAACCCCAAATTATACCCAGCCGCAAACTCGCTACTCTCCCTCGTATTATTCGCCCTCGGTATGTCCAGATGGCTCAATCGCGAAATCGCAGATGGAGAACGAGCAACGGTCGCTGCTTCCATGGTTTCCGCTTGCGACTGCTCGCGCGTGGGTGTGCGGGCAGGACTGGCAGGCCGGCTCGATTGCCAGAATTGGCGGAAGTCTTTGCTGAGTTCCTGGCCGGTTGTTGTCCAGTTTGCTTTGATGCTGTCGCGCAGCTCGGCCATGGTGCGCTTGACGTCGAGCTCGTTCTTCTTGAGCCAGGAGACGTTGAGTTCTTTGCGCGAGGTGCCGCGTTTGAGTTGGCGGTCGATGTATTGGTCGTAGTCGCGGACGATTCTGGGGTGTGTTAGTACAGGCAGGAGGAATTGAGTTGGTAGACTTACTTTGTGATGATACCTGTTGTGCTGAGACCCTCAGTTCTTTGGGTGACGAGGAACATGCCTCGCTCCTTGATCGGGCCGTAGATATCGTCGCCCTCGTCTGCGCCGTAGGGAAGGTCGTCGTGGGCGACGTAGTCAATGTTGTGCTTCAACAGGAACTCGGCGGTCACGATCCATGGGCAGTCCTCGATAACCTCGTCGACCCATTTGCAATGGCGCACACTCTCAGCACGCTCTCGCGCCGACAATACGGTGAGACCCTTGCGCTTATGTGTCTCCTTGTTGCCAGTAACGCCAACTATAAGCTGGACGTTGGGGAAGGCCGTCTTGGCCTGCTGCAGGGCGCGCATGTGGCCAATGTGGAAGAGGTCGAAAACACCGTCTGCGTATATCCTGACGGGGCGTCCCTCTGGCGGCGGGTTCGTCTTGTAGCCTACGGGGTCGACCAGGCCAGCTTTGGGCGGAGGCTCCATGCGCATGCTGCCAGCCTCACCACCCTCGCCGTGGTCGTCACCGGCGAGCGATGACGTGCGCCGGCTCTTCTTGCTCGCGCGCTCATCCTCGTCGGTATCCTCGTCGCCGTGGGCGCTCTTAACGCGGACCCGCTTGGTGGTGGTGCCATTAGCATCGGCCTGGCGTTCCTTCTTGGACGCGACGGCCTGGAGAACAGGGTCCTCGGCACCCTCGTCCGAGGCGTCGCGCGATGAGGGCTGCACAGCGTCCATGGCGTCTTTCTTGACCGAAGATACAGTGGTGGACCGCTTTCGTTTTGGCGGCATAGGCGTGGGGTCGAGGCAATTACGGACAATTACGCTGCACGTGCAAACTCAAAAACTATGTTGAGAGGGCGGAGTGGTCTGTAGGTGGGAGAGTAGGAGTAGGTAGGCGTCGGGTGCGCAATGCCCAGATATGGGGAACACGCGGGTGATAACGGTCGAGGTCGGGGGAATTATGCGCAAGCGCCAATTAGATGGGTGAGGAAGTGACGACGGCCTTGCATAGCATCGCAGACGCACACAGCAGAGACGGTGAGACAGTAGATAGACAGTGGATAGACGGTGACGGCGTGGCTAGTATAATGTTGGACACGCGTAGATTGCGTCTAGCTGCCGCTCCGTAAATTCTCGCGCTTCCTTGAATCCTGATCTGATCGGCACCTTGGCATGACGCCAGTCCGCCCAACGCTCCCTGCGCCACACGCTCTTGACGCGAGCGGACTGGTTGAGACCTTCAACATGGCCCACGTGTGGCATTTCCCATCCTGATTCCTCGCATTTGCATCATTCGCATGTGACAGGGGCCTGCCAACTCCAGACCTGAGAACGTGTCATGACGCGTTTACTCCTTAAGTATCACCACCAAAGGTCTACATTGGAGAAACGGCCAATCGCATATCCAATTGTTGAGGCCAACTCGCGCACTCTATTCATGTCGTAATCCCCATCATCAAAAACATAAACATACAAGGAGCAAAGCATTGAAGTCTGAGCATCGAAGGTCGGGATGCTGTGATGCATATATCTCATCTATTAGCATCAGTGTATACAGTCTTACACAGTAAACTCATGCGCTCGACGCATCCACCTCATCCAACACCCACACCCTAACCTCCCCATCATCCCCCGTCGTTAGCACAACCTCCTCCTCCTCACCCCTCCTCCCCTTGTCCGCCCTCTTCGCCCAACAAACATGATTAATCTCAAACACATCATGACCAGAGAACAATTCCGCAACAACCACCCACTCCGTCAATCCCCTTGACCCCCCTGCCTGCGCACCATCAACCTCCATCTTATCCCCCTCCATCTCCTCCACTCCATCCGACGCATTGCCCCTCCACCTCTCTTTATAAACAATAACCTTACCATCACTCCCCGCACTAACAATCATACCCGTCCTCCGACTCCAAGAAACAGAGTAGATAGCGCGTTCGTGAACCCGTGGCAGAACAGCGTCTTGAAACCACTCCTCGTCGATAGCCGCCGAGCGGATGATACTAGGCACGCCCGTCTTATTACTCGCGTTGTCATCCCCCTCTTTCGCTTTCCTGCGCCATATCCGCACCGTGCAGTCGTCTGAGCAAGTCGCGAGTCGCGGTCCCGATCGTTCCAACTCCGTGATATACTCCGATCGCTGCTGTTGTGACGCCTCCGATGTGTTGGATGTATCCTTCCTCCAGTCCCTCCCCGCCATCCCACTCCCCTCAAACTCCGCCCACCAAACCGTCTTCGCATGCCCATCAATCAACGCCACTTGAACCCAATCATCCGCATCCTCCTTGTACAACCGAACCGTATCATCGTAACTCGTGCTAACCAGTAAATCTTCCTCGGGGTGCCACGCCACGCTCTTGACATCGCCGTCATGTTCCTGCAACACAGCCACGGTTTCAAAGTTATCGTCTTCGAGCTCCTCCCATATCCACACGCTCTTGTCGCGGGAGCACGTTGCTAGGTATTGGCCAGAGGGACTCCACGCGAGGCATTTGATTTCGGATTCGTGGCCGTCGAGGATGCAGGAGAATTGGTAGTCGTCTGCTTCGTCGCGTTCGTTGTCGGAGTCGTCTTCCGCAGCGCCGATTCTTCTACCCGTAAAGTCCTCTTCGCGTCCTCCACCATTTACTTCCCTTCGCCATATCCCAGCGCTAGAATCAAAACTCCCAGTCGCCAACACACTCTGCCCTCGTGTATTAGGTTTCCATGATACAGTCCGCACGCTGCGCTTGTGCCCACCCGTTATAGAATGTAGGAGCGTGAAGGAGGTTAAGCTGTAGACGCGAACGCTGCGGTCGGAGCACGCGGTTGCGACGATGGGGAGGGAGGGGTGCGGCGCGGATTGCCAGGTCCGCGAGTTGGAGGGCGGTGTGAGGGTTGCGAGGGGGGTGAGTTTGTGGGTTGGTGTGGTGGTGGTGGGTGAGGACATTGTGGAGGGGCCGCCGTGGGCGGGCTGGTCGCGACGGGTGGATGACGATAGTGGCGGGTCGTTGGAGGTTCCAATGGGATCAGGATTGGATGTATGCTGTAAGAGGGCGTACACACTAGCTGATCTTTGGTAGTGGCTTGCAGCCGGAGTTGAGTCAATGTTTTTGGGGCAGTTCGCGCGTGGGGCATAGAAAGTTCAGATGAGCGTCATTCGCCAAGCCTCCCACGTTGCGGGCCGGCTTGCGTTATCGGACCCCCTTGCACATGTGCATCATTTTGTTCTTGTTCAGCTATACGTTCTTATTTCTTCATACATAATATACATATTACAAGCTTTACACTTTTCTGTCAAAGCTCTGAAGCATTTCCAGATCCCAAACGCCTTCCCATAGATCGTGAATGTCCCTCGTTGTGTCATCGCATATCATTATGAAGGGTATTCCAATGCCACAACCCCAACGCCAGAAATGCTGCAAAAGAAGGAATCGTTGAAAATACGCCATCCCACCGATGAACGTAGTCTACTTCCGGATACCATGGTAGCCTGGCGGGCGAATTGCGTGCGGGTCACGGAACGCTGTCGTAATCGACATGAGTCGGTCTGCCAGCGTCTGTTGCTCCGTCTCCGCCATACCAACATTTGCGCGAACACCGAGATCGTGTAGCTCTACATTCGCACCCGCCTTGGTTTCGTCCACATGGATGTTCTGGGTCGAGGTGACCATGATGCCTCCCCATGGATGCGATGAAGGCTCAGCTTGAGAATGCGTGGTGCAGTTGACCAGACCCTTCTCCGAGCACGTGTCTGCTTGCTGCCAGCTCAGCTCCGTTGAATTCGATCGCTTCGAGCGTAAACCGCGAGTCCATTTGCCGCCGCGGCTGCTGGGTGGCATCTTCGCGATGGAGGGTACGCGTCGGAGGCTGCTAAACTCCTTGTGGTTCTTCTGCGCCAGTATCGCGTGGTCGGCGCATCCTGGCTGGGACCTCAGGTACGTTTGGAAGAAGGAGAGTGGAATCGTCTTCAGTGTCAGGCTTTGCAACGACTGCACGTAAATTTCCTTGATGCCGCAGAAAGCAAAAAGCGTGGCCTGGCTGGACTCGGTCTGGCCGTGCATCATGTCAATCTGCTGCGATGAGAAAACTGAACGATGAAGAGTTTCTTCGGGACAGTCTTGCAGAAGTTCCATGATCCTGTTACGGAACTTATCGAGGAAAAGATCGTCCTCTGAGTCGGTCGCAGTCCGCTTGTTGATGCGCACCAAACAGTCGTCCAGACTGCAGCCGTTGAAGGTGGTGAGAATGTTCAGCTGCCGACTGTCCAGCTCATCGCTGCTCAGCTTCACCATCGGGATGCGGCCAGGTGTAGCTCTTGGCACAATGACGTCTAAGCCTCTCATGCCGGGCTTGGGCTGTACGAGGAAGGATCCAATGTACGTGCCTTTCTTGGGAAGCGATAGCTGCCTGTCACTGAAAGCCTGCAGGCGTCCAACGAGGTTCTCGAGGTCGTCGCGCGGTATCTGCAGGCTACGGGCCAGATGATCGCTGACCTGCTCGACGCTCGCGAATCCGTATCCAAGGTTGTGTAGTCGATGTGCCTCGGTGGTGTCGACCTTTCTTGTAAGTACAAGCATCTGCCCTCTTCCGAACAGGATAGGGTTGACAGCTCCAGCTTCCAGATCCTTTGTCGCTACGTCTGCAGCCACGATGGTCTTGTTACCGTAGTTGCCTGTCCAGATTGCGCGGTTCATCACCGTACCCGTTGTCAAGACCTCCTCATAAAGATTTCCAAGATTCTGCAGGCTCGTGTCGAGTGTCTGCGCAATCTCGTGCGCTGTGACGCAGAACAGCTCCCGGAATGTAGCCGAGTAGCTTATGTCGTCATCGGCCTCCAGAGACGATCGGCTGTTGCTTCCGTGAGTAGGCGCTTGGAGGTATCCTGTCGCTTGTAGATGCTCTCGCATCGTCGGGATGAGATCGGAAATGCCGGTCCAGTTGCGCGATACCCTGAAGATCCACTGGAACACAGGATGCGATGTGTTGAATTCGTCGTCAAATGTTCTTTGGTGGAACTGGTGGGTGATTGTCTGACATGGCATCAGTCCGCTTTGACTGACGAGCAGTCTTCCTTCGGAGTCGAACGTGGCGATGGCAAGAACGACCTGTTGAGCTCTGTTCTTTTCCAATCGACGTTGACGCTGCTTGATGAAGCCGAGAAGGAAGCATACAGCACACGCACTCAGGCACTGATACACAGTTAGCAATGCGCGAGGCTCGTAAATTGGGTGACTTACTAGGCAAAGAGAGATGATGAGGTTTGTGTTTCTTTCTTGACCAGGCCCATCGTGGTAGCCGCGGATCTCATACCAGGTTCCAGCTGCCGCAGTCCAGTGCATGCCGCACACGGCCAAAGCGAGTACGACGGCCACAATGATTCGTCGCCAGACGTTGTTCATCCAATGCTTGTTCCAGTGGAAGAAGAGACTGAACGAGATGAGACAAGCTCCTACAGCGATTGATGCGGCTCCAACGACGTGTGGCCAGCTTAGGATGATCCGGTAGTTGGTCGTGCCGTTGTTTCCCAGGTAATGCATCTCTGTTACAGCCGCTCCTCCACAGACACCGCACACGCCCAGTGATGCGAACCGAACGAGGGATCCTTTGCTTCCTTTGTAGAACTTATCCGCAGCCGATAGTCCCAAGAACATGACGACCACCGGTAGAACAGCCGATACAGCGGTGTAAGTCGAACTGTAGTAGAGTTGGATCTCTTCTTCTCCGTCACCGAGCACGATTGCCCTGTTGCCGACGAAATGCATACACCAGATAGCCACCAGTCCGAACGAAACTGCGCAGCCTCCTACTTGTACCCTAAAATGGTGTTAGTGGTTGTCGTACAGCAATGTAAGCTCCGAACATACCACGACCGCCATCCTGCTCCTGAAACTCGCCGATGTAGTAGCTCTACAGTCGTGAAAGCACCGATTAGGCTGACGATGTATGAGCCCACAATGAGTGCAGGAAGAAAAGATATAGCGGGTCTGCTCCCCAGCGGGTACTTGGTCTCGATGTCTGGGTTCAACATTACGAAGCAGTTGTTGATTTAGTGTGTTGAGATGTGTCGTACTCTCGTGAGGCTGATAATGCGCCTTACGTGCACTTCCTCAGCTGTGAAAGCTGCACTCTGTCAGTTGGTCATGTTTGTTGCATTGATGAACGAGAGAGGTTACTCATCACTTACGTTTACAGAAGAGGAGTGAAGTGAGATGGAGTCAGCAGAGCGGAACCGCACCAGTATAATCGCCCTGGATGTGTTTCTTGGATGAAGCTCGTCACAGTCAAGTGGTTTGCATCATACACCGCAGATCGACGCAGGAAGGCGCTTTCGGTGTTTCGTTTTGAGGATCCAAGTAAGGAGGTGACCAGCGTCTTGTAAGCTAACGTCTCTTCGGGGTCCAATCGCGCGTATGCGGAGAGATGTGTATATGTAGGTTCTCCTCGCAGCAGTCAAAACTTAGAAGTCGATCGGAGGGGTAGCCGCTGAAAAGAGGGTTCTGCGCGTTTGTACCTGAACTCGCGCCGGTGGGTAGTGTCCCCTTCTAGACGTCCGCTGAAGTGGAGGACATAGTTTGCGCCTGATTAGTCTGGTGCGGGAGGCATGACAGCGACACCCCGTCGCACGAAGTCTCCACACTCGTCTGCTGGGACCGATCACATAGCTCCGCCCTCTCCATGCCGAGATGCCCATGGCGCCAATCCAGTTTTCCACGCCACAGCTCTGGCCCCTTCATGCAAACGACCTTGATACGGCTTGGGCCTATTAGCCTAGGTGTAGTGGCTTCGCGGCGTGGCCTCGAGTAATTTCAAAGTTCACGAATCCCGTTCGGCCTGACCTTCTAGCCACTCGCGCAGCGAACGCGGCCCGCTAGTCATGCATCTGTCCCCAACAGGCCGTGGTCTCCTGCTGTGTTACAAATGTGGCTGATGGATCTCCGAAGGACCGTGCTTTCCCTACGAATACGTGCGAGCGTAGAATTCGTGAGCGGGATGTGAATTGCAAGCGACATACAATGACCGCGGAGACTGCACGGCCAGAAGCGAGTGTCATGCGGCCTAGAATGGGGCCCGATGTCATCGTGAAGCTAGCGTGCAGACTCAAGTCTGGTACCTTGGCCGACTGATCCCGGGTATTAAGACATATGGTACGGGTGGTAATTTGAGTTCATTCAGAACGCCAACACGGCAACGAAGGCGTCTCCGCGGGGAGGAAGCTGACGCTGATGAAGCGTGATCTGGCCAGGATGGGCATGTCGCACACGCTCTGGGCGTGTTCCGCACATCCAGAGCATCGGTACAACAATCACTAACTGACTGAAACATCGTCGGTCTCCACCATGATGTAGGTGATAGATCTTTGCAATGCACTTTCTCGAATCGAAGCGCCCTGTCGTTCCAATGATTCTGCGCAAGCGACGAACGCCGCGCTCCAAGGCCTCGATTGCAGGAACTGCCGTGCCGTGTATATCAAAGAGGACTATACCATTAGCATGACAACAGCCAGCCATGTTCAAACCCAGGAGGCGGCTGCGAAATGCAAAGCTTTCAACCCGATGGCCCGTTCGAGTGGTAGACTCGGAAGAGCCGACTTGACATGTGTCGCCATGCTCGCAAACCTGCCGTTGGTACGACGGCACATAACAGTAGTGAGGTGGAGACTGAGCGTGCTTTCCTCCGATCGCAGATTCTCAGGACGTGGCACGGCCTGTGCCCGATAGCCGAAATTGATCACCTCCCGTGCAGCTGGTGGGGCGCGAATCACGTTCAGAGAAGAGGTCGACTTTGGAGAGCGTACGACAGCTGCAGAACAATGTCATGCCGTCTCGCAGCTCTCGCAGGAATGTTACACGAAGAGCCGCTGACGTCCGACATACAGCAGCCGCTTTCGTTTTGCCGGCTGCTGAGTATGTGGTAACTTTCGTGAGTGTTTGCATTCCGAAACAAAAC